TAATCGTATTATTTAATGAGTAATGTTAATTAATACATATAATGGCATGAAATAATACCTTCAAAACTTCCTGATGTGTAAGTGTATGCATCACAAGTTATTGAGCTATGTAAGGCTAAAATCATTAAAAAATAAGACTTAATATCTTCATAGTACACACATACATTGTGTGTATTCAGGTTTTGGTCCAGAGTTAGCTCCCCACAAAGTGAAATCAGAGATATGTAATATGAGTTAATTGACTGACTTTGGTTAAACACTAATTCCACTTTGAGATTGTGCCCATCTCACAAATTAGTTATACATAATGATAAGCCTTGTAAGATGATACAAATAAATTTTATATATGGAATTATTACACTAATGAACATGGACAAATTAGTATCATTATCGCTAACTCAGATTTTAATGTTAATTATTCGAGAATTTTCACATTCACATTTCTTATATATTTCATCCACTACTTTTTTGCATGTCTTACAATATAGATGTGAATGATAATTGTATTCATCACAAACCTTACACCTGTGCTTTCACTCTTTAAAGATATGCCACTTTTCAATAAAATTTTGACTTTTTTTATTTATAAATATATTATTATAATTTTTCATCATTATCATTATATTAACAAAAAAAATACATAGCTAAATTTTTTTATTATATAAACCTGTATTGTGACACTTACGTTTGTAGTCTGTTTACAAACAAACCCCATAAGGCTAAGACCCAGCATCATATATAAAACAAAAAATTTTAAGCAATATGTGAGCTGTGGAAAATTTACTATATAGATTGTGACCCTGAGATTACAATATCACATAATACAAGGCGCAGTAAGTAAAATTATTTTTAAAAAAAATAGATTAACATAATCTATTTCATCTTGGCTTAATTTTGAAATTGTTAAAACTATAAACAACTTAACATGCTGAATCTTATCAACCCCAATTTCAGTAAATAATTCATAAATCTTTTGTGTCATTTCTTTTTTCTTTCGAAGTAAGTCATCATTAACAGAGTTTGAAGTTGTGATTTAACTTCTTTATTAACTAATACCTGGGCTGTATGTTTAGGATTATTTTTTTTTATATAATGATTATACTTTTCCTTAAGTGCTTTATCACAAAGATAATAGGTGGTTATAACTTCCTAATTTACAATTTCATTTTGAGTTTCCATATGGGTTATATTATTGTATAAAATCGACAAAATTATTTGCATTTTCTTTTCTAGTTACAGGATCTTGTGAAGTACTAGGCTCGGTAGATAATTCTTTTATAAGCTTCTTTAGCGTAAGAGATTTTTTTTACCTGTTTTGTTTTTTTTGTTAGATATAGGCCGTATCATCACTTCTGATACATCACATTTTATAAAATAAATTAAAAAGTTTATTAATAATATTAAATCT